TCTCTTGGAACATTCAGCTGACAGGCTGTGAAACTGGAATACTAATAATAGGGGCTTTCAACACAACTCACTCACTCTCACTCACTCACTCTCACTCACTCATCTCACACTCACTCTCACTCTCTCTCTCTCACTCTCTCACTCACTCACTCAGGATCTTCTCGAACATTAAGCTGACAGGCTGTGAAACTGGAATACTAATAATAGGGGCATTCAACACAACTCACTTACTCACTCACTCACTCCTAGGTTCAACGTGAACTAAAGAATTTGTGGACATTTACCTCTTCATTGGCAATAGTGTATTATCATTCCAAACAATATCCTGTCCAAATATTGCACAGTTTCTTAATTAATACCAGACACTCATGTGCAAGGGAATCTGTATTTCATTCACCTCCCTATGGTCGCGAATCATAGATTAACCTCATTTAGTTCAAGGTTTGTCAGCACTTATCCCATACTCATGGGTTTCACAAAAGTGCTAATCATTTGAGATCTATGTGATGATTTGCTGTCTCACACAAGCTGTGGTATAACTGAAATACTGTTCCAAACTGGGATATACAAACGTAACACACTCCCTTTGACATTGCTTTGGTAACATTTGGTGATATCAAACATTTTTGGGACATTCATCTTACACAACATTATTAAAAAAGGATGTCAACTATTATGAAATGAATGTAGTGCCATGTTACTTGATGGGTGAGGTTGATAATGGAGTGAAGTGACTAATTCTTTTGTAGACAGTGTAAGTGATATTCAACATTTAGCCTTGACCTTGAAGAAAAGACCATGCGAGACTGATATTGTGTAATGATGCCCCGATGAGAGCTTGTTCCATAAGTTAAGGTTTTCACACAGTTTAACTTCTGTTTATTCGGCAAATCTGTGCTCTGATAAAGATCTCCATCACTGGCCGGGTTAGTACTTTGACAAGCCATGACAGTTATCTACACCATGTCTAATAAGTAGGTAAACCAATACAGCCTATCTGATTTTACCCAGTAAAGCCTGGCTGATGTTACCCCAATGTTGTGTCCCCCATGGATATTCAGAGTTTGGGGGGGTAGGGGCAATGGTGGGGGGTGATGTCCCAGTAGAGGGCTACTTGATACACTCCAGACATTCTACCCTGTTATTACAGAGATAGGTGGGACCAAGCTTCTGTCAAACTTCAGGTGGCATTCTCACGGGCTTTGTCACCCAAGGCATACAGGTACACTTGGCGCGGTATTCAGAAACCTCACCCCAGACTGAAGCACATGTCTGAGATGTATGCTTCAAGGTTATTTATTGTGTTTACAAGAACATCATGCTGATAATTATCAGTCAGTACCGTACATTCCTGAATGCATCAATGCCAATACATTTGAGTTCAAATATTTCTGTCTTCTTGTCGTTCAGTTGTTTTTGTGGAGACAACTCTTCATTAAAAGATTCCATCCTTATTGTCTTTGTACAATTTGCACCAAACAAATTCTGACTACAAAAGTGGGTGACTTGGTTCATCGCATGTCATCATATCTCATCAGTATTGATTGATCCTATCTCCATCACTGGATTGTCTGGCCCAAACTTATTTGCTTACTAACCGATGTCATATTGCTAGATGGTGGAGTAGTTTGCTGGAATAAAAACTCACTTCTCACTCTGTAGACCTGAGTTTGATTCCCTCTTTAGTTTCTTGATAGACCTGGATGAAATATTCCTATGAACTGCTATAAAATCTGCTTCCCAGCCTTTGGTATGTGTGATATTTGGTGTAATAAATTGATTTTTAAGGTATTCAGTTGATTCATAAAAAATATTGAACTTTGTGTTTTAGAATTGCCTTGCAAAAATGCTTTGTGGATGTTTTTCAGTTGGAGTTAGTGTTATCTTTCATTTAGACCATAAGAGCTTTAGAGGTACTCCTCCAGGCGTCAGAGAGGGTCATATGGTTTCAGGCCAACAGGTATTCAGACAGAAGCTGCTAAATATTGGAAAAGTAGGCCACAAGATCCTGAGATTTTGCAAACACCATTATGGTAGACTGAGGCAGCTAAGTAGGGGTGGTCTCGCTGTTCTCACACATGCACACTTTGCTGCACCACCAGGGTGCAGCTGCTACTTCAAAGCATAGGGATCCCCTATCAACTCATTGTGTCCGCCTCAAGTAACACTTTCAGTGAGAATGGCCGCGCACTTTGATGAACCATACACAGCAGCTGTGACGACTTCTGTTGTTTAAAGATGGGCACATCTACATCTGTTTGAAAATAAACACCCCAATGCTTTCATACAGAACCTGAAACTGAGTTCCCTAATGATTTATATCATCTTTAGCTTCATCTAGTGTGTGCATTAGAGACTGAGATATATTGTGTTGGATGCAGAATGCGTCTTGACATTAAGGGTGGGATGTTATGGATGTTATACACATTAGTGATGATGCAATACAGATCGCAAAGGTTAGGTTTTACATTGTATCAATTCATTAATGGGATGTATCTTCTGTTATTGATTGATGGTAAGCAAATTCTGTGAAATGTACATTGATGGAAAGGTTGTATGAAATATACATTTATGGAAAGGATATTTTGTGAAATATCCATTGATGATAAGGATATGATATCAAAAGTATATTCACAGTGAGGTTTTATGATACATGAAAGCTCTTCAGGTTTACAAAAATATGCGCCATTTTCAATATGAACGCTACCATTACATATTTAGTGTATAGAAGTTCGTTAAAGTAAAACTGTTCATAAAACTCTCCTACAACACTGAGTTTGTCTGTACACTGCAGAGGTGGATACAGTTTTTTGAGAAAGGGGAGGTGCACACTCTTGGGAAAGGGGGAGGGGTGTGTGTGCATACTTCATTTTCACCCGTCATTTAATGGGTCATTTAATAAACTTTTGGGACAAAGTGTGTGTGTGTGTGTGTGTGTGTGTGTGTGTGTGTGTGTGTGTGTGTGCGTGCGTGGCGTGACGCGTGTGTGTGCGTGCATGCACCCTTGCACACACACTCACACTGGATCCGCCTATACACTGACACTCCAATCAGTCATATAGTCCCTGATCCACATTGTTCTTCCCGACTGCCCAGCCCTCCCTGCAATGCTAAAGCTCTAAATGAAGCAAGTCTAGATTTCTGAATCCCATCTCACTGGGACTCTTTTTTAAATTTGAATGGGATTATTTGTTACTATCAAAATTATATGTATTCAGAGACAAAACATTAATCCGACACTCCAGTGAATAAAAGTATTAAGACTAATTGTTTCAATGGTACAGATGGTTACTGCTGTATTTATACCTGGCCTCATAATGTGAGTGAGTGAGTGAGTTTAGTTTTACGCCGCACTCAGCAATATTCCAGCTATATGGTGGCCCTCACAATGTGATACTCACAACCCAGAATATAGACACTTCAGTGAATCCTTGTCCAGCTCAAGCACAAAGGCAGATTGTTTGTTATGCTACTGATTTCCTGCAGCTGTATAATTGCAATTTAAATAGGACTTAAATGACAAGATGAATCAGTATTTGAATGTGTTAATGTGGATTTTCCCTCCAGAGACTTCCATGTTAGTTAACAATGAAGTTTAGTGGTAGCTGTCAATGAAATTAAGTGGTGTTTGCCATGTAATCTTGACAAATGTGTTGTTTGTAATCATTGCTAATTTAATTCTCACAAATGACTGATGATCTAAATTGTGTTTTATTTGTGTTGTGTATTGCATCATATTTCCATCATAACATCAGATTTTGTATATTGAGACATGATATCGTTGAACACTAGACTAAAGCCTATCCTATGTTTCCCAGAGCTTAACTGAAACTAGCTTTCTGCCAAGAGGGAATTATCTCTGGTTTTCAGAGATGAAAAAATTTGTATAAAAAAAATAAATCCTGGAGAAGAGTGGAATAAAAAGGTATATCTCCCTGAGATAAAACAGTGCTGATTTCCCCGACTGCAATTCTACCCATGGCTGTATTTATGCAGTGCAAGGCTGTACCTCAGCATCTTACTTAACCCTTTCTGTTTTAAAATCAACAGTCCATTTCAGAGTCCCCAAAGCATATAATTAACACGAAAGTCACCCCAACCCCCACTCAAGTTCCACTCATATAATCACATTATCAGCCCCAGCAGCCAATACTCACCCAGTTTTCAGCTCACAACTTGAGGGCTATCTTTTTCTCAAAGAGTCTCTTTTTGTGTCATTTTTTTGGAAATTGGCATCTAAATGCAGTTTACAATTGATTCATTAGTCCTGAACTATGACCGAAATATTTGCATTTAATTTTGTCAAAACTAGTTTAGGTAATACCATTATCAAGTCCACTGTAATTGTTTGATATGTGGTGGTTAAAGCGTTCGCTCGTCCCGGGTTTGATTCCCCACATGGGTGTAATGTGAAGCCCATTTCTAAACTAAACTCACTCACTGATGTGTACTAAGCTGAGATGAATGTTCTGTTTTTGCATTTCTTTGCTAAACTAGAAATGATGGGGCAGCCTCATTGTGAAAATTATTTGTTTTACATGCCACAGACTCAACTTAAGTTTCTCAGGAATAATGAGATGAAACAAATGATACATTTACAAGATTAAAAATGTTCGCTTTAAGCAACTCAAATCCATGCTGAAAGGCCCTCATGATTGAGAAAAATGTTATATTTATGCACCTGTGTCTGTACTGTAAATTGTGTCATTAGGGTTAAAGTGATTGCATATCTTTTACATACCAACTCACACATGCAAAAGTCATTCATAACTGTAGGAGTAAAACAGCTAATGATTTGGAAGTGGTTAACCTATCTGCCACAGTTTCGCTTAGGCTGTCAAAAGTTAAAAATAATTTAAGATTTAACCAGTGAAGGGTTAATACATCTGTCAGCAGCATACCTACAAATCCAGACTGTCAATAATCATCCAGTTTGAAGCAGATAAGGTTAACCAGTTACAAAGGGTTAATACGTCTGCCTCAGTCACGTCTGCTGTGGATATAACTCAAACAGGCAGACGCACAACAAGTGAATGAAGTCTGCAGGACAAGACATTGAGCTGGGTGGGAGATTCTTCTCTTTGTCCTGCTGTAATTGCTTCAGAATAGATTGTAGGGGACACTGTGGCCCCTCCTTGGTTGTTTGAAGCAGCAGATAGGGTCGAGTCACACATCCAAAGACTTGTCCTTTGGGAGATTACCAGCTCCTTGGCCATAGCTGGAGGATAGTTTACGATTTCTGGAGAGCTGTCTGTCCATGAGGTGATATTTGCTCTGGTAGGTGTCATGAATTTATGTGTTTGTTTGTTGATTATGGTCTGCAATAGATGTTGGAAACAGGGCTTAATGTGAAATGATAATCCCTACCCTGATCTTGTTCAAATCTATAAATTTAACAAATTGCATGTTGTCTCATCCACACCTCATCATGAGAGTGTTTGGGTTCGAGGAATTTTCTTTGTATGAATTTTGGGATAGCCATAGATATTATATTTGTTGTTTTTGACTACGTGTTTTATTTGAATACAAAATGCCTGAAGCTTTCAAGTACATGTGCAGTGTACCAGGGTGTCTCAATGGCTTTGTATTTGTTATCCAGGAAATTTCCAGGTTTATCTAGTGATATGCCATAAGGCTCTTCTAAGCTAACTTTAATAGCACTATAAGTTTCCAATAAAGATATTTCAGTAGCCATGTTTCTCCACCCATGCTAGATATTTGTGTTAGCGATAAGAGACCTTTGTTGTGAGTCAGTAAAGAATATCCATGTATATTTTGTTAGTTGTATTATGACCTTAACAACATTTATACATGTGTTATCTGTTGACTTTCGACTGTCTCATACTCTCATAATACATGTGTGGTTATTTCTATATGGGGAAAAAATGTTAATTGCATTTACACTAGCCTGGCTATCTTTTGATGAAGTGCTTTTGCAAGAACCGAGCTTTCAAGATATATTAATAAAAAGATTCTTTTGATTTGAAAATATTGCATTACAATCATAACATGAATGGCTTTTTGTTAGATATGGATTATTTTAACACATGATACAGAGAACATACTATTATTCTTTGTTGGGGAATAAAAAAATATATCACTTTGAAGTAGGCTATATGTTGTTGTGGTTTGAATGCCTGTTTAAAAGGCCTAAGTTGAGAAGCTGACCAAGACCTGACTGTTACAACTTCAAATGTATTCATGGTTTCTGTTTATATCTCGTAACACTTGACATTTCCAACAGAATGTTTTTTCTATATGCATGGCATTTCTGTTAGAAAAAGAGTATCGTTCCACTTTTCTGTGAACAATGTGGTTTAAATGCACTGGAAGATAAATAGATATTAACATGTCTATGTAAAGTCATGTTTTTAAATGTTGGGTGTCACAGAGTTCCCCACAGTAAATACATGTATATATGTTCTTCTTGTGCCATGATGCGTTGCACACAATATTCTGATTCGCAAAGAACCTTAAGGGAAATGGTGCCAATGATGTCAATGCCTGAAAGCTAATACAATCAACGTCCTGCATGTACAGTCTGTAAAATGTAATATTAAAACTAACCTAAAACTGCCTAAAAAAGATGACCCTTACTTTGAAAGCAAAGAATGCACTGTATGTATTCATGTACATAAGGTTTTGTATGAAGTAGTTTTTTCAGTGTTTAATGTGCTTCGGGTTTTAGTTTCCCAGCACAGTTAATATAGTAATATTGTTAAACTATGGTCCAACCTCTTACCTTGTACTCAAATATAAGAATGTTTTCAGTACCAGTTTATAATGCAATTAAATGATGATTGAGCGTACACTCACAGTCATTGTAGAAAAATACAGTACAAGGCGCAAATATGTTTAGATAAAAAACATTTATCGGTGTCCGATCTTCCGGTTGAATCCGACCCGTGAAGATCCGGGGTAGAATAGGTCTTCAGCAACCCATGCTTGCCACAAAAGACGACTAACAGGATCGGGTGGTCAGGCTCGCTGACTTGGTTGACACATGTCATCGGTTCCCATTTGCGCAGATCGATGCTCATGCTGTTGATCACTGGATTGTCTGGTCCAGACTCGATTATTTACAGACCGCAGCCATATAGCTGGAATATTACTGAGTGCGGCGTAAAACTAAACTCACGCACTCACTTCTGTTGAATCCTGATAAAGGGGAACATATTTTTTTTATTTACTCGCAGCCATACAGATACACCTTGGGATATTACCTGTAATCCCAGAAGTGGAGTTTCCCGTCAATTAAATTAAATACCTGTGTGTATAACCAGTGGATAAAAGACTGTGGCAGACAAATTTGATTTACCTTCCTATGAGATAAAAGGGACAAACCGTTTCTTGATAAAGGAGAATTTATGGCCCGTGATCTTTGCCTATGAAAGGATTTCTGAGAACATATCTTGTATGTCATCACAAAGATGGGTACATGGTTTGTATGTAGGCCACAGGTATAATTTGGATGCATTTGAAAATACAATACGACTGCTGACTTCCAGTAATAATCGTGTCAGTCAAAAGATGTTTGAAGGTCAATTATTCATCTTCTTGTCACTGACTTTGCATGCTTGAATCTGCTTATAGTTTCCATTTTAAAGTTTGTATTTAGGCATATTGTTCAAGTTTGTCATCAAATATATTATATCTGTGAAATTGCTCCTACCTCAGCAGTGTAACTCAAGTGTGTGAAATAACTTTTTTTTTTCATTGTCATTAGAATTAAAGATGTCTCAAGGGCAAATTAAAATAGTTTTTGTTGATCTTGACGTTAAATGAGTATTGATTCATGCAGATTTGTACAAATAGCTTTTACAGAAGATGACTTCAAAAAACATGAAGACAATAAAAATGCAATTAACTCCAGGATATGAACACAGCACTTGAACCAAACCTTTGCTCTTCCCAGCATGCCATCTGGTCACCAAGTGCTTCTCATCCATTGCAACCAGTCATCATAATCCCTGACCCTACAGCCGCTTATGTGGTTGGTTTATGAGCCTGTCCCCTACCCCCACCCCCAAACCTGTCCCCTCCACTTGCAATAGGTCACATAAAGTGCTACCACCCTCACCCTCTCAATCTCTTAATATCCTCCTTGTCGAGTCCTGTCAGCGCCTCTCCTCAAACACCTAACCCCTACTATCCCCAACCCCTTTCCCCTAAAGGGTTTGCAGTAAGTGGCTTTTCCTCAAACTCCCAACTGTTACTTTAAGAAATCTTCAGAATGCTCATCTCTTTCATTACTTTCATTTCACTTGTACCCTTTGAAACATTATTCATCCTTCAGGTGAAGTTCAGGTAGCCCAGTTGTTTTATCTGCTGGTCTGACAATTAGGTTCAAGTCTGCTGTTGGTAACATTGGTATTCATGTACAATGTTACAGCTACATCAGTGCTAAACCCCTATACATTCAACACCCAAGTCTAGAATGGAAACTCACTCATCATATGAAACAATTTAAATTGGTTTCTGTACTCAATGTATATATATTTGCCGTTCTGAGATCTAGCTTTTGTCCAAAAAGACTCTTTTTGAATGTTTCAATTTATGCAATTGACTCGTGGATCAGAATTTCTCCCCTTCCTCCCTCCCTTCTCTCTCCTTCCCTTGCTCGCTCTCTTTCTCTCTCTGTCTCTCTCTCTCTCACCCGTGAGGGTCCGGGTTAGAACGTGCCTTCAGTAACCCATGCTTGTCGTAAGAGGCGACTAACGGGATTGGGTGGTCAGGCTCGCTGACTTGATTGACACATGTCATTGGTTCCCAATTGCACAGATTGATGCTCATGCTGTTGACCACTGGATTGTCTGGTCCAGATGTGATTATTTACAGACCGCCACCTTATAGCTGGAGTACTGCTGAGTGCGGCATAAAACATCACTCACTCACTCACTCATATTCTCTCTCTCTCTCTCTCTCTCTCTCTCTCTCTCTCTCTCTCTCTCTCTCTCTCTCTCTCTCTCTCTCTCTCTCTTGCGCACACACACATAGATACATATAGATACATATAGAGAGGGTATAGTGGAACCTCAGGACAATTCTTAGTTTAATAGTTTTTAAATTCAAGGTGAGAAATGGATAGGGCTGGATGACTTCTTAGCTATCAGCTCAGGATATAAACTATATGTATCCTCCTCTCCATCCACTACCCCCTCTGTTCCCTTCCCTCCTGGTAGGCAGTGTTACCTCCTCCCCCACCTCCCTGTGCCCACAGCCATGCCTCCACAGCGGCTGTCAGCTAGACCCCTGTATCCCATCAGTGCATTATGTAAGGCGTGTAGGCTCAGGCCAGCCTCATTACCAGCTCTATCAAGCCACTTAGATAATGACACTCACAAATCCAGTTGATGGATCTACAGGGAAGGGGGAGATAGAATATGACAAAATATGTACTCCACGGTATCAGACAAGCATGCAGCCATCGCCAGATGGAGATGAGGAAGTGTGATGTTAGGTCAGGATCTCCTGAAACAGAGAAACATTCATTACAGTGTAACTAGGAAACAGAAGTGTTTCTGTCTTTAATTGGAATATGGGGGAACTATAGAATTTCTATGTATTGAGATGTTTCACAGGTCAAAGTTAATATGTTAGTACTATCATGGAGTAATAATTCAAACCAAAATTCATTATTAATTATTCAGGCCTACCAAAGAAAACTTTCCAACTGTGCAGAAAAACACAGAAAAGCCCACATTAATCGTGGAAATAGCAACATAAACCTAATACCTTGGTACTGAAACAGTTAAAAACGGCAACAAAAGGCTATGAAACTGCAATATATTTATATCACTGAACTTTGACCTCTACTGCGCATGCGTGTTACGATCCGAGCTTTAAATTTCCGAGCAACCGTGAATCGCGTTGCGCAGAAAAAGTATTGAATATGTCAAAATAATTTCTGTCAATCATTTCATACGAATGGAAAACTAAACATGTATGCAAACAAGTATAATAATGACAAGTACCAAATAACACAACTGAAATACTTTAAAAAGGTAATGTAACTTTTGTCCAAGCTGGAAAATGTCAACATGCGGTGGAGGCTTCCCCTTCCATGTACGCATGCGCAAAATCAAAGTTGCAGGATCTTCATTTTTATATCCAGTTTTAGCGATTTAAAGTTGCAGTTTTTACTGTTTCAGAAGCTAGGTATTATGTTTATGTTGCTATTTCCACAATTAATGTGGGCTTTTCTGCATTTTTCTGCACAGTTGGAAAGTTTTCTTTGGTAGGCCTGATTATTACTACTACAAGCTATATATTTATTAATAGTTAAGTTCAGTTTAGTTTTATGCAACACTCAGCAATATTCCAGCTATATGGCATATTAATTAATAATGAATTTTGTATTAATTATGACTCCATGATAGTACCAGTGGTCCAAGATCACGGAAATATCATGTCTGCCTTTTGCCTTTTGCTTTTGCTGTACAAAAATTCAAAATTGTTTGTTGACATTATATTGATAAGATCCAAAATTTGGTTAGATAACTAGATTTGATGTGTTTGGTGAAATTATATTCCTTTAACCGTATGTTTGTATATATTTCAAAGATATCAGTTACAAAACTAATTTTTCACCATATTCACCAAGAATGTTGGTGAAACTTTTAATAAAGTGCAACACATCACAGCAGAACTGTGGAATAAGGAAATTAAATTATTTGATTCACGTACAGGCTCAACAGTAAAGAGTTTGGCAGGCCCTATTGATGCGTGTAATGCATGATTGTTAGCTTGCAGGATCCTGTGATCTATTATCCAACCATCTTAAACAAAGCTTATGTGCATGTTTGGTAAGCACAGCTACACATCACTGGTGCATCTCACGCCTCCGCTCTAATAGGATTAGCTTCTAATGCCGGTGCAGCCAGTGTGACAGTAAATGGAAACAATGTTATCAATATAATCGCCGTTCTTTACAAGCATGGACCTCCCTGTAGAACTCGTTGCCGCTTGACTTGGTCCTTTGTGACATGTGATTTCTCCTTGATGCTGTTGATCAATTATATTGGAATGACAACTGTTGTTGGACAACTGATTGATCTTGTTTGTCGATTGTTTGTATCTGAATAAAGATTGTTCACATATGACAATTGATTCTGCCTCAGGAACAATTGATTGTGTCTGTGTGATGGTTGATTTTGTGTCATTGATAGCTGTTTGTGTCACATTTCTTTTGATTTTTATGAAAGTTTGGATTTTATTTTTAGTTTCTATGGCTGTGTTGTCATTATAAACTTTGCAAATGATTGTTTATTTTATTGATTTTTCATTGAACAATTTCAAGGGACCATAAAGTTGAAAATTATTTGCTGTTACTGACATGTTGGTTTGTAATCCTTTGGTATATTTGAGGAATGGCTGTAAAACTTACCTAGACAACAATGAATGTTTTGTGTCAGCAAGTACTGAGGATATGGTCAACCATGTGACTAAACAGTCACAGTAAAAACGATGAAAGGCAGACATTTCAAAATAAACAGCAACTAAATGTGGGAAAGGAAGGGCGAAGCTAAGATCAGTTAAGGAAATGTTTCTACAAAGTTGAAACGAGGTTGGGTCTGATCTGCTCAGCAGGTGCTTGCAGTATCTACCTACAAAAAGCCTGGGCAGTGTATAAACAGGGAGCAGGTTTGTGCAGCCGTACAGATAACTGCAAGTCAGCGATGCCATCAGGTTAATGTTATCTTCTCAGGTGTGTCTGACTGACGGTATGTGTAACCCTTAAGCCTTAAAGATTCACCTTGTTGCCATACACAGGTTGACTCAAAACAGACAAGCTATTTATTTTGAAAAAATAGAGAGGAGCTTGTGATAATTAGACTGAAGTGCTGCATTTTGTCAGCAGGTTTTATCCGATCAAGAAAATGATAAAATAGCTTGTTGAACAATAGCATTGAAAAAGTGTGAACTGCATGTGAGTGAGTTAGTTACGTTTTACGCCGCTTTCAGCAATATTCCAGCAATATCATGGCGGGGGACACCAGAAATGGGCTTCGTTGTACCCATGTGGGGAATCGAACCTGGGTCTTTGTTGTGTCAAGCGAACACCTTAACCACACAGCTACCCTATCACCCATGAACTGGATGCCTGGTTGATGTGATCGAACGTTATAACTGCAGCTTTTAGATAAGAATGATCCAGGTCTATTGTATATTGAAAGGGATCAGCCTTTTTAATTAAATATGTTTGGAAACTGTTGATCTTCTAATGTTAAACATTAGCCTTGTTTGAACATTTCATATCATCAAATATTCAATATTCCATGGCAATTTAATTTATTTAAGAGCACCATCCTTTAGAGATGAAGAGAATCAATAACTTGTGCTCATGTGAACTGTAAGGTGGGTCTGGGAAAGAAGAAATGATTACATGATTTTTAGTTCTGACATTCTGGAGGGAACATATGTTGGGCTTATTTAAAGAATTTGACACAGTATTGTGTGTACCATATTGGCAGTCACACTGACATGAGTGAGTGAGTGAGTATGGTTTTATGCCGCTTTTCGCAATATTCCAGCAATATCACTGCAGGGACACAAGAAATAGTCTTCACTCATTGTACCCGTGTGGGCAATCAAACCCGGGCCTTCTGCTTGATGAGCGAACGCTTTAACCACTAGGCTACCCCACCGCCCTCCTAGTCTGTCAGACAAACCCTGAAGCAAATATATCCAAGAAAGCCCACGCAAGTCTAGAAAATGTGGCAAGTCTACATTTCCACAGCTTCAGAAAATGAAGAAAGTCTCAGGGCTCCTTTTCATTATATTTTGTTTTGTTTACTATGAACTTTTTTTCTGTAATATATGTTTCAGAGACTAGTTGTTAGTCTATCGCCCTCCCAAACTGACATGATTTCCATTTCCATGAAAAGTTTTCACACCTTTTTAAGATTTTCACGGATGAATTCTTTTGGACTCAAGAAAACCTTTTGCATTGAAATTAGGGAGAACATTCTCTAATTTTACACAAACAAATACCAGCTGTTCAAGTTTCCTTTTTCTTCCATCAGGATCAGATTTTGAATATGGTTGGCGTTTTATGTCTGTTATCAAGGAGATTTTACCAAACATGTTAAGAGCTTGATATGTTGGGTCAGCTCAGTCCATGCTCAAGCAAATGTTCCAGAAGAAACCCTTTATATGAAAGAGGTTTATATGAACCGATAAAATATGATAGAGTAAATCCTATCTGTGAACGTGATGACATATTCTTGCACTTTACATCAAAATTAACTACTTGTTTATCTTTATGACATTTCTTACATGAATATTCTTAGTAAAAGTTGTTACATGTTGATAAATTTTCACCAATGAGTTTCTCCTCCCAAGTCTGTGTTCTCAGCGCCATGTCTAGATAAGACCAAGGTTGTCCAGAAAGAACTCAGCAGTTGCTTTGCTCATGCTTTAATGATCAGGAAATTAAAATTTTTAGAGAAAAAGTTGTTTGATGATAAGGCAGTTGGGAGTTTGCAGATATCTGAGCCCAGTGGAGATGCATTTTTATGTGCAGGTTGCACACTTCCTGTTAGGCTGCAATTGCTGCGCAATGCTGCTTTTGGTGTTTGCTGCAGAGAGCACAACCTCAGCTGTTATTGAGACTTTGATGCCCAACACATTCATAACTCATAAATGAGCTCAGCCTGAAGCAAGCCACTCTCCTCACTTTGACAAAAACGTGACATATAGAGGGTGATTTGCTTGCTGCTATGAAAATTTGGAGTCGTATGATTGGAAAATGGAGAACAGTCTTTGAAGTTGTTTCCTGTTGACTAATAACAGTTTTCTGCATGATTGTGCAGCTGCCCTTTCTCTTTGTGAACAATTTGACATTTGTTTGTCAATTAGTTGATTAGTTATTTTTATTGTAAGCTTCTCTGAAAGAAATGAATTATTCATATTGTGATGTATGAAATAGTGTGCCCTTTACAGGAATTCCCTTCAGTTAAAAGCTTTGGCATTCGTACAGAAGTTAAATTTCTTCCTTTCTGTTGCAGATCAGGATCATCTCTTAATCTAAGATGGCGGTTTCCTATTTGTGTGTGTTGCTGTTAGCAACAGGACTCTGTTTGTGTTCCACAATGAAAGTGCGACGGACATTTAGAGACCCGAGTGGCAAGAAACTTCAACATATAGCCCTTCATGCTCAAACAGGGAATATATTTGTAGGTGCTACCAACAGGCTGCATAAACTCTCTTCCGAACTGTTTCTCATTCAGAGTGCCTCAACAGGACCAAGGGAGGATAACTCTCAGTGCCCGCCACCATTACTTCCTTGCAAGGAAGAAAAAAGAGAAACTAATAGCCAAACCAAAGGATTAGTCATTGACTCTATGCAAAACTCACTTATTTTATGCTCTAGTCTTTTTCATGGATTTTGCCAAAAGGTTTCACTGAAAAATATCACCCATGTTGAAAAGTTAGTCCACAAGCCTGTGGTGCCTAATGATAAATCGTCAAGTGTCATGTTCATTGCACCCAGTGTGAATTCGGAACCTGCTTTGTACATTGCAGCGACCTACAGCAGTAATGGAATGAGAGTATATCGGGATATGGTTCCAAGTTTAAGTAGCAGACGACTAACTGACCTGGAATTTTCTTATCGGGATTCTTTTGGAGCAACCAAGAAAAACATATTGGAAAAGTTCCGTACAACCTATAAAATTCGTTTTGTGGATGGTTTCTCATATGAAGGATTTGTCTATTTTGTGTCTGTGCAGAAAGAGAATGTAAATTCAACCAGGTATATATCCAAGATCAGCCGAATTTGTCAAGAGGACAAGTACTTTTATTCGTATGTAGAGCTGCCATTTTTCTGTGAAAATGCAAGTGGTCAGAGGTATAACATCATTCAGGGTGTGCACCTTCATGAGGGAAAGCTGTACACAATCGTCTCACAGAACATCAGCTCTTCCACAATGCCACCAGGAACTTCTGCATTTTGTGACTATGACTTGGCAGAGATTAACCAACTGTTCAACAAGACAGTCAGCGACTGCTTTCAGGGCAAAGGGACAATTGGACCAGAGTTCTACACACAGAGACACACCTGCAAGAAAACTGTGAGTATTTTTAATTATTTTTGTATGTATTTTAACATTGAAAATTATTATGAATTTCACACATAATTAAATAAGCTTACAACTATTTTTACCTGGGCACTATTCTTGGTTTGAATTGTCACACAGCAAGGTTTTGATTGCCCACTAAATCTGATCTATTTCACAGACGAAAAGGTGTAATGTTTTAAGTGGAAGCTGAGTACCACCTTTGTAATTAAGCAGATAATTGTGTCTTTGATGAGAAAGATCACCCTCGTGAAATGGGAAGGTTATCAGTCACTGCAGCGATCACAGACAGTCTGGGGTAGCTATGGCTGACATTTCCGTGCAGGAAAGACCAAATGGAACTGATGGCTAACCCGAGGCTTCACCTCCATGCCTTTTGCAAGGCGTTTGTTGGATTTCAGAAGCATCAATTCAGGGAAAGAGGATCACCCTGGTAAAAAAAAATCCAGTGTCAAGTTGTTCGGAAGTTTCAACAAGGAAAACAGTTTTAAGTTTCTGTGAGGGTGATAGGGCAAAGTATTGACTGTTATTGTAGAAAGACGTTTCTTTCTCTTGTTGTCTTTGGTTCCCTTTTACAGCGTCTATAGTATTAGATATATGGCTTTCCTGAGCAGTCTTCTCCACAATGTTTAATGACTGTTCCCAACTCCCATTCTTGAACTATCTTACAAGAGTCCAAACCTTAAAAGTGATCTGTAAAATAGGGTCTTGATCTCTATAGAAATAAGCAAAGTTGTACATAATGGCTGAAGTGATTTGCAAGCAAGTTGTGTATGCTTGATGGGCGATACTGCAGATGCAATACAACTGTAAATTGTCTGACACGAATAGAAACTACACAAGAAAATTGATAAGTTTGGAAGAAAGGTAAAGTCAGTAAATATTTTCATAAACATTTTGAGTTATTACTCAAGTAATAATTTTGAGGATTAGTAGTGTCCTGTTCCTTTAATATGTCTGACTGTTGAGGTGAGGTGAGGTGAGGTGAGGTGAGGTGAAATTGGGTTTAACGTCGTGCTTGAGAATATTTCGCTCATATGACGACGTGCATGCGTGTGTATGTGTATGTGTGGCTGCTTGTACTAGCCCAGACTTAAGCTGGTTTTATAGTGCTAGCCCACTGAGATACCATGCCGCAGTGAAACATGAATACCCCTCTCAGACCCATTATACTGACTCCGAGCCGACCAGTCCTTTTTGTACCCATTTATGCCGAGCGCCAGGCAGGGACCAACAAGTACCATATTTTAACGTCTTAAACCACTACGCCACGGAGGGGTCGTCTGACTTTTGAACAGTTTCTTTGATGAATGCCTTCGTTTTCCTTGTCTGATGCTGAACTCTGGAAACAGGATCTTTTGATAAGTTACCAGATAATAACAGCATTATGACCAGACAATATGAAAGACTGTGTCACAACTGAACACCCACTGATTCACTTTTTTTCCAACAGTATAATTTTATTGAGTGAGTGAGTTTAAATTTAAGCTGCATTTAGCAATATTCAAGCAATATCACGGCGGGGGACACCAGAAATGGGCTTCACACATTGTACCCATGTGGGGGATAGAACCCAGAATTTTATTGACAATTGCATATATAATACCGTTGATCTGATTATTGTGTACCACCATATTGTGCCAGTCCGCCATGTGCTTTTTTTCATCTTCAGTAAGATTCTTTGTAATTATTTACTTCTTTTTTTTTCCATTGCTAATATAAAGGTCATGCTTCATGTTTTTTATGAGTTCAGTGTTTCCATGCTTCTTCATTGTGGTTGAAAGCAAATATCACATTATGTTCTGGTCTTATGTTTATGCATTAGCACATCAAACCCAAGGGGGTCTAGCATACATACACCTAGACTGACATGTGTACAACATTGGCATCTGAATGAAGGAGAGTTATGTATTGGGTCATAACACAAGCAATAGCTCGGGGTTCTTCTGCAAATCTAATCACATTTCACGTGCTATCTTTTGTTTCCATTTTGCATATCATTTCTGTGGTGAATCTTGTAAGCCTGACACAAGGAAACACTATTGGAGACTTCAAACAGAGTTGGCAAATGCATGCATGTGTACTTCTGGTTAAGGGAAAGTGATTTGTAAGTTGAGTTCTGTGAATTATGCAGGCAGCTGCCCTTGATAACATCCAAGCCTCTATCTTCTGACCCAGTCTCTGTAGGCTCTAAGCACCACAGCCGTTGCTGACTAGTAAAAAACTCTGAAAGAGGTACCTCTTGACTGAAAGAGCACTCTTCAGTCTTGCTTCAGTTTGCTTCTTGAATTTTTGAAGGAAATATTTTTTGTATTTATATATTTATATTTAAAAAAATAAATATAATAACATAAGGATTCTATATTGAGACTACAATTGAGGTTATCTTTACTATTTACCACAAACTGGATTGAGAGTGAGTTTGGCTTTACATCACTTTTAACAATATTCCAGTAATATCACCAGAAATGGGCTTCACACATTGTACCTGTGCGGGGAATTGAACCCGGGTCTTAGGCGTGACAAGCCAATACTTTAACCACTAGGCTACCCCACCTCCCCACTAACTGGGTTGTGACAAATCTATGATACCAAACACTACTGTTCTGGGACAAACTGTTCAGGTGATCTGGAGGATTTATTCCCCACAGGGCTTTCAGTGTGTTAATCCCATCCTTTTATGTAGCTCAAACCTTGATATTCCCATTCATTCTCACACAAAGGACAAACATGTTAATATTTTCATCTCTTTTGTTTTAATACAGGTTTTTAGTATTCCTGAAAAGCATGTATGCTTTTAACTTTTTACTTATTTCCATCAAACTGGATATTTTTTATGAAAGATCAGGGTCCCGTTCCTCAAAGCGATTGTAGCGTTACGACTGTCGTAAGTCTATGTTAAAGTATGGGAGTTATGATCACCTTAGCGCTACGATCGCTTTCAGGAACGGGGCCCTGGAACTTTTCATGGAATTCCAGGCAGTTTCTTTTCTAATGAAGGGTTTCCTTTTCAATATTGTATATCTCCAGACATCAAGATGTAGGAAATTTATGAAGTGCTTAATGTCCCTTCTGCTTTAATGAAGTAGTTTGTGGATCTACAGTCAGTTTCAAGAGGCCGTAGTTTGGCTGATGGTTTCCTCATTTGGGTCTGTGTCTCGGAGTCGATCCAGGTTCCAGATGGGATAGCTCCCATTCTAGTACTCATTTCCAGAAATACACTGCAAAATTTGATGCTATCTCTTCTGTTCCTCAGTCCAATCTGGAGGCAGATAGGGCACATTTGTTTTGAAGCTGCAGATGAAGTACTTGAAGTGCTAAAACCAAGATGGCTGCCTATCTTGCAAAGAGAGCATCTATTTGTGGCCTTTGGCTGTATGGGGCTGTTCTAGTAACAGTTGCTGTCAAATCGTCAGCTGCTTGGTGAAAATTTCCTGTCTCCCAAAACACTTTTGTTTCCGTTTTTCCAAGATGAAAAAAGCCCTGTCTGCTAATAAGAATGCTTTTAATAAAAATGGTGTTTGATGTTAAAGGGAACATGTGGTAGAAAAGACTCGCTTGACAGTCCAAAATGTATTCAACATTTGAACAGCAGTTTCTTTCTTCTCTTGAAAACAGAAAACACTCGCAATGTGCTCTGGAGAAATCTCAACAAGGGCTATAGAAATAAAAGGCAAACACAACATTAAGTCAGCTGGGGATTATATGTTCTATTTGTAAAATTAATCCAACTCACAAGACCTTCATGTTAACATATAAACATTGATGACTTTCCACTTCTGATGAAAGATTCCAGTGACAAAATGGCCTCCAGCTTCAACGGTTGGTTGAATTAATCTTAACTAATAAAAATATTTTTTCACAACTTTATAGAACTTTATCTTAATGCTTGATAATTTTTGATAGCTATAAATTTATCTGTACATTTTTTGAGCATTTATTAATATTGTCTTGTTATATTACTTTATATTCATTTCCTTTTATGTTCGCAAACCTAACATCATTTTTTCAAATTTAAGTTTGTCATTAACAATTGTTATCAGTTTGCATATCAGCACCCGATTTATTTTTATTCTGTGCAATTTTCCAGATACTGACTAATTCAGCTTCAGCATTAATTTTGTGGTCCTACAAAAATGGCCATTTTTGTGTTATCTTTGAGCCGAGTCCAAGTGTCACTGAGGATGGGGTTATTCTTCTAATCAGAGGCGGTGTGTGTGCTGATTCACAGCCATAATTCCACAGTGTTTATGTCCCAATTGACTGTTTGATGCTTGTCCCTGTTCTTAATGCGCACATGTCTGTGAAGCGAGCTGGAACTCCCTCTCCAGGGTGGGAGATGCATGGCGTGGGGTCATTAGAATTAAGATGTGTGATTTTAGGACTTGGGATTAGAGACACGAATAAAGATGTTTTAGCATGAAGGAGGGAGGTGGTGGATTACATTGATTAAGATTGCAGAAAAAGACAACATAACACGTCAGTTTATGGCTCCAGTGGGCAACACTTTGGTTTCATGCAATTCCTTTGATGCCAGGCTGAATTCCTATTTCTATATTTTACGCAACTGTGAAGAAATGCTTCACAACTGAAAGTTAACTGATTAGGCAAACATGTAAATTTTCACTTAAATACGAAAAGGAAAAAGTTTATTTTGTTAACAAATAGCATCTCGAAGCTGCGAGTATAGAGATTAAATTACTGGAAAGTAGTGAGTGAGTTTAGTTTTATGCCCTTATATACTGGTTAAGTCTGAACAAAGGAGTCAGTTTTAGGTGTCAAACTTTAGAGCTACCACTGATTTAAGATGAAACAGATTTTCTAAACACGTGACAACTGTCATGTAAAAGGATTATTCAGATGAGTGTCAAGTTTGTAATAACGAAGAAAAATAAACTTCTGTATATCAACCGGTTCCTTATTGGTCGCCTAAACACTCCTGCCACTGGAAACAGAAATAGTAGTCAATGACAAGTAAATTGGCCTCTTCGTTT